CATTGGCAGGCACCACTGCGTTTTTTGGTTTGCGCGTTTTAAGTCCATTCTGGCAGCGGTAAATCGCATAGGCACGTGTAAGCGAGTGTGGCTGCATAACAGTCGATGTGTTGCACCGCAGTGTCCCGAGCATCATAATCGCATGCAGCCGTGGCTGTTCGTGCCCAAATTTCGCGCAAGAAACGTTTCATGCCCAATTTGCTAGAGCATGTTCTTGCAATGTTTTCTCGGGACTCCCAATAAGTTCACGGTTTTGCTGCTGCCCCCATCTGGTACACAAGCTGTCGCGATGCTGCAGTTGTTTTGTTGCCCAGTTCTGCGCGATATTCGCTCTAGGGTTTGCAGATGTCTGCAGACAGGAAAGATGCAGTTATATGGCCCCAACATTGAATTGAAAAATCTTACATTCAACTTTCAACTTGGTGAATCGCTGTGTGTACATGACCCGCAAAGGATGCAAGAGAGGAGATGCATGAAGGTTTTGCCGATGACCCAAGCATCGCTGGGAACAGGAACCTATAAGAGGAGCCCGCATGACGCTATGTCCCTACAGCAATGCGATTGCTGATTCGCATGGCCACTGTGTATCGCACGAGCCCATGCTCTCGGGAACTATGCCAGCTGCCAGACCTCGCAGCGTAGCAGTTGAAGCAGGAACTTCCGATGGAATTGTGCAGCGTGTGCTCACGGTCTTAGGGCTGAATGAAAAACAATGCAGGGATCGTGACGCCTATTACAGGCTTGTCACTTGTGTTAATTGCTCTGCGCACAAGGTGTCGCACAATCACAGTTTGCATGTTTCCTACCCTCTGGCACGTTGCATGCGTTTTCGAAGCCAGTCGAGACGAACATGATTGGCTCCATGGACGCCTGGGCCTTCAAGGGATCTGTGATCTACGGCAGTGTTCTCCGCCGGACCTCAACCGCCAGCTCCCGACTGCAGTGTTCCCCGCCGGACCTCAACCACAACACAGACCACAAAGACACGTCCACAGGACAACCACAACACACAACCACAGCGCACAACCGCAACACACAACCACAAACACAACTAGGATATCATACATGCTATGAAATGACTTTTTTGAGTCTGAACATCCCATTTTCGCATACTCAAATCCAATTGTTTTTTTTTTCACCCTGGTGTTTTGGGCGTTAGAGTGGAACCTCGGCGTTTGAGGTCTCCATCGCCAAAGCGCGGATCACGAACGAGACGGAGAGGCGACAGATCTTGAAGCTTGGATCGAACCGGATCGAAGACCAAAAAATTTTGGAATCCCAAAACAAAGCACTCTTGAAAAGGTGAACTTATTATATTGCATCATGATGAGAACATTTGTACATAATTATCTATGATGCTATAAGTGCAAATTGGTCATTATTCCTATTTAGCCCTTTCATGGACAAAACCACGAAAAACGTAGCCGGATGTTCGCTGTGTGAGGTTTTGTTGGATGTCCTCCCCGAAAAATGAACATGGTCCAGGACCTTCCCAGTGACCTTTTTGGGGTCCCTAAGTGACCTTTTACAAGCCTGTTCGTGACCTCAAACCAGGGGATCAAGTTCGGTCACTGGGAAGATCCAGGGTGGTGTATCCTTCATTCAGTGGCGAAAGGGAAGGCTTCATTCATTGTCGGTCGATGTTTTTGGAGCACCACACGGATGGCTGGTCACCAGTGCCCCACATGGGGCCACGGGTTTTGTTCAGGTCAATGTCCAGGAAACACTTCGTGATCGGATGGCGGACGGTGGCTATTCCCACGAAAAGCGGATCACCTACCTAGGCGAGGCATGGGGACACCCCACTCAACGTTGAAACAGGCCAGAGAGTCGAAAGGCTGGACAGCTCAGCCCAAGAGGGTGTTCGGTCGGTTGACCTGGATTGGTCCAGGGAAACAGCGCGGTGGGGGGTCAGTGTTCTCAAGGGATGTCTATCTACTGGATGCACAAAGAGGATCAAACCGCTGAATTCGATGTTTTTTCCAGATCAGGCTTTCTTCAGGGTCGTTGAAACCAACTCAGTCCAACACAACTTGTGGAAGAACTCCCCAGTATTCCCCAGTTGTTTGACTGCCAGACTGCTTACCAAAAGATGAGTAACTAACTAATGCAAATGTGCTCGCCTGGACACCCCGAGACGGTTCCTGGGACGTGTTGACTGATTCCTGAAGAAAAACATGCCTTGGTCAACACATCACAACAGTTGAGCCAGGGTGAGTAACATGGAAGTTGAAGTCAAGAGCAGTGTCATAACCATCAGACCATAGAAGCTTGACCATCCCTGGTAGTCTCTTTTCTTCATTTGAGGTGGTTGACCACCAAGGTCTCCCCACGAAACTGACTCATAGCTTAGTGGCGATCCCCAAACACAACTTAGTTGTTGACGATACAGATTTGTTTAGGACCTATTGGGATGATATTGCAGGTACCCACCACATCGGACAAAAAAGGCCACAAGGTCAAGCGGGCAGTTGCAGCCAAACACACGTTGACCTGGCTTACTTTGACATTTGGGAACACTGATGGATCAAGTTGAGTTGTTTGACCTCTCTCCATGGCCTGGTACTTTTGTAACTGGTTGAGCTACTGTATCCATTTGAAAATCAAGATCTACTAGCATCGCACACTCAAGGGTCCATGGTCTGAGCACTGGCTGGTGCCCTCCAACTGCTTCCTCAGGTAGAAGTTCAGGCAAGTACCTGCTTGGGAAGTATATTGGAGCCATGGATAGCCATGGGGGATTTCATCTGGGGCGATCGGACGATCGAAGTTTCGCCATCCAAGGAATAGCCTTGCGCGGCGTGAGCCCACTGAAGAGGTGCCATTGGCCTCATTCTTGCGGGGAGAGAGAAGGGTGTACTCCACTCAGGCTAGCGGCTAGCATTTGACCCCACCTGGAAGAGGAAAAGCATGGAACCAAATCTTTTGTTCATGAGAACATAGCTGAAAATAGCCACGCACCACCTTCCCTGGCGAAAAAGGAGGTTGTCGTGTTTGGCCCTTAAGGGTGATTGAGTCAGGCCTCATACAGACCCAACTCTCTATACCTTTCGAGAAGTTATCCACGTGGACCGATTAGACCACAGCAACGTGGGGGATCCACAACAAGCATTGGTCTAGGTGCAGTGTCCCTAAAATGGAAGAGCTGAGCGACTCTGAGGCTCTCAGAGCCTGGAGCAGTCCCCTTGGAAGCCCAGTTTCTTTATACAAACAGGCTGCAACAAATGCAAATGCAACTTTGTTTTGTTTGTTTGTGTGTGTAGGCTTCGGAATCCGTTCACCTAGTTTCCGTTTACCTAGCCAATGATGGGATCAAATCCGAGGACCAAGGACCTGGACGGGTCTAAAAAAAGACCACCTCGAAGACGTGTGTGACGATTTTGTTGTGACTGGTACCTCGACATGCCCATCTGTTTGGAAGCTCGGGACCCAGGCCATCTTAGCCCTCCGGGTTTCTTAGAGATATATAGACCCTGGGGATCCAGTCGTACCTTCTCAGGTGATTGGAGACACTGTTATGTAGGTTTGGAGGGTCCAAGTACCTTCTAAGAAGGCACTTGGATCCCTAGGGTATAAGTCCAAGTTCTTGGGTTTGTCCCTTCCAATGTCTGTTGGGTTTGGGTTCAGGGTCCGACCCTGCAGGGACTTGGTTCCACATCCCAACGTTCAAGGCCATGGTTCGATCCACCGCAGCTGAAGGGCAGATCCAGCTGTGCAGGAACAGAATCCGAAGATGGATTCCTTCCATTCAATGGACCTTCTGCTTTCCATGGTTTTTTTCACCAAAGCCTTGGGAAAAACCAAGGTACCATGAGGAATCCATGAGGATCTAATATTAACTAGTATAATGTAATGTAGGTCTACGGTCTACAGCACCTGGCAGCCACGATTCCGTCGTGGTGCGTGTCTTGAAAACCCCGGATGTGACCCGTCTCGCGCCAGGTGGTCGAGGAGCCGGGAGTCTCGGAGCTTCGGGAGTTGGGAGTCCCCAACCAGCTACGACCATCGATTCTCCCGCCGGATGGTTTTCACTGGATTGCCGCCAGCCCATCCATGTTTCGAGACCCAACAGAGGTTCTTCAGAACCCGAACTAGGCGATCCCCAGTTCGGTACCCTGGTAGGGTCCTAGTTCCGGTCACTTAACCTCTGTTGGAAGCGAAAGCGGAATCGGGTCGCTTCGTTCCCACGGTTCCCGCGGTTCGACCGGTGAGCGGAACGGCGCGGCAGCCGCGGTTCGTCAACGACATGTCGATGACAGACATCAACTATATACCATGGGCTTGCCCCTATGGGCAAAATCGAGGCTATTTGATCAAAACCTGGTTTCCAGAACAGTGACCCGTAGTCTGAAGGGTCGTTAATGGACACATGCAAAAACCAGGTTTTTGCTGTTCTTGCCCAATACAAGATGTTGGGCTTTTCTATTTTGAAGCCATTTGGCTGAGTAATGATTCAAGACATTAATGAGTTTAATGTGTTTGTTCCCAAATAATCCAAGATGCGTGAGATTCTTTCCAATTGCCTTCCACAGGCATGACTTCCATGCTCAACGGTGTTCCACAGGGACTCCTCAAACTTAGATGGAAGTGAAAAACACCTTAAGGGCTCGGTTTTGGGGCCCTCCGTGTACCACCAGCCGTGCGAGCAGTGCCATGACCACTCGTGCTCTTTTTCTCCGGGAGATCTGCTTCTGGAAGTCAGTCTGGTGCCCCAGCACATCATCCTGGATCGACGCAGGAGTTTGGGGCAAGGGAAAGCTCATTCATCTTATGTATCATGAGCATTTCAGCTACTTTCCCTCAGCTCCCCATTGGACTCAGCCCTTTCAAGATCTTTCAAGTATACATGATCTTTAATACTATTCTTTTAATTGTTTCTTACACCAAATCTCTGTGGCACAATGCTCCAAATGATGTGTGAAGTCCACGTATACATGCGCTGCAGCCTTCTGGGACCTGGGAGCTCAAACACCAATCCGTCCCCAGCTTTGCCTTCAGCAATGCCATTCAAAGACCGAGATGGCAATGATTTGGCGACCTGCTCGGTGGAGGATGTTTACAAGGTGTGGAAGGAAGAGGCCAGCGTACGGATGGTAGCTGTGCGGGCAGACCGGCTTTTCGAACCCTCAGCAGCCAAAACCCCTACTGATCAGCCACGTGGGATTCGGATGAACATCCGGGATACTGTGCACAACATGTATGTGTTGAAACCGCTGTTGGAGAGAATGGTGGAGCACACTCATCATCCTGTCCCCTATGTCAAAGACTTGGCCCGGGAGAAACTCATCTGGAATTGGGAAACGCGTGTGTATATATAGTGACATACGCCAGTATAGCTCTTGAACCTATATATACATGCAAAAAGACACAGGCCATCTGATCCATTTGTATATAGTTTCCGTGTCAGTCCTCCAACATATGTCTACTTGTTTCGATCGCCGATGGGAAAACAAAAACAGTGGTATAGCGCTGACCGCTTTACCATAATTATTTTGCTTAGGTCTTTAGTGCTCCAATGGGGTCTTTATTTGGCCTGTCCCCTCTAAACAATTTGTTTCTTCACTGCCATGCCATGCCCCTGGGCCTCACAAGGATCAAGCTCTTCAGATCCAAGATGAATCTCATCCCGCAGAAGGACAAGGTGAAGCTTGATGCCTGGACAGCAAAATCTATGCTGAGCTTTGTGAAGATGAAAACTCACAAGAACCTGGGATCTCATGTAGCTTTGAGGTGAAATTTGTATGTTTTGGAATTCATTCACCTGTTTTGTGTTTTTGCACAGCAAGCTTTTTACTTCAGTAAAACCATACACGCAGTTCCTTGGCCCCAAATTTTGTCTGTATATATGAATGCAAGTGAAGGAGAAAATGCCTTTGCATAGCTCGCATACCCCACTCACATGCTTTAACATGCCAACATGGTAAAATTTGAATGGCCAATTCAAAGGGTTTCATATACCGTCCCTTCGTCATGTCAAATTGTTGATGTGCTCCCTTTGTCAAGGACTTGCATTTCCTGAGTCTTCAGCGCATATTGGATCCAACCATCCAGGCCCGTTTTAAATATAGTTGTCAAATTGTCACATTGCACACACAACAATATAAACTCGTGGGGGATTTGCGCACATTCATACTGGATCGACTACAACTTTACTGGTTTGCCAAAGCTTTCTATACCAAAGGCTTTCTTCTATAGAAGCATGAACTTTCATCGAAAGAGTTTGCAAACCCTGCAGCCCTACAACCAATGGAGCCCGGATGGTGCTGAGTCAGAAGGGGATGGGGAGTCGGGATGTGATGGCGATGGGCTGGTCTACGATCCTCAGGATTACGAACAGGATTCCGATGTGGATGAATGGTTTGACAACTTCCTCAAGAGTTCTTCGAATTTGGGCTCTGAGGCAGATGCCCCAAAGGCTTTGCCAGACAAGGTCGAACCGGATGAATGCACGCGTCCTGTTGCCCGGCCACTTCAGCGGAGCATGACAACAGGTCCATCCAGTGGATCAGATGTGCTTATGATTGAGGAATCCCCTGTCAAGGTTGAGGTGCTGGGCGAGGATGACAAGAATCCATCAAACGACACGAAGGCCAAGAAGGTAGAGCAGATCGCGCAACTCCGAGAGCACCTTAAGACTTTGGAGCTTCAAATGGCCAAAGCCGCGTGGGGTGCTTACTTGTGACACCATGCAGTTCATGTGTGTGTGTGTGTGTCAACCAAGGGATGTTAATGCACACAATGAATGGGTTCAATCAGTATAGTAGTTCCACGACCTGAATGTGACATCTTGTTTAAAGGGGAATGCAAAGCCATGCAGCTTGAATACATTTCATTTCCCTTATACAGTTGTCATGAAATCATCATGTATATTTTTCATATGTGCCATGGGGTGTGCTTGGATTAAACTATAATGGGATCCTTTTTGAGCAAATATAATTCAAGCTGCATTTGCTCCACAAACAAATCTTGAAGGGTGTTCCTGCATTCCACAGCTTGCCCAGGTCATGCCATGCTGTCATCGCTGCAGATTTGAAGAGCTCTTCAACTTCATCGGTTCTCGTCGATGAATCGCTCCCATATGGTCAAGATTCAGATCCCACTATTCCCATGGATCTGTCCTCTGGTGTAACAGCATCGGTAGAGGGGATGATTGCGAGGGGCGAACAAGCGGATGCTGCTCAACTCCCTGAAGTCGAGACAAAGGATCAGGAGGTCAGGGAGAAGGGTACAACATAGAATCAAGCACGAAAAGCTATCAAATGAGAAAGCATAAGGTATCAAACACTAAATTTAAAGCTTTTTGCAATTTGAGAAGTCCAGTTTCTTGTGTTAAATTAGAGGTTGTATAGCTCTCTGTTTGTTATGTTCTACCGAGCCTGGTGCCAATATATATAGCTCGTTTCTTCATTGAACTTTTCTGAACAAGTTCAACAGTTGATACACAAAGGCATGCCTGTATCATGAAGGGGCCTGCAGCCCTCTAGGTTCTCACTCGTCGACAGCAACTTGGGCAGATTGCTGATTTGAACGAGGAGAAAAAGGAGAATGGTGGGAGAGGTGGCCGTGGACGAGGTCGCGGACGTGGCCGTGGTAGGAAGGCTGAGGAGAAGCTGGCATCCACTCCAGAGAAAAAGGTTCCTTCGAAGAGACCCCCGGTTGAGTCCCAGGCCAACACTCCTGAGAGACGCGAGCTGTTTCCAGACCCTGCTGCTGAGCCTCCTGTGCCTGAGGCAGCTTCTTCCTCAACGAAGCAGCCCAAGAAGAGGGCCAAAGCCAAAGCGCAGGGAAAAGCAAAGGCGAAGGCAGCTCCTTCCCAGCCTGCAGAGCCTGCCCAACCCGAAGCTGAGGCAGGTGGGTCTGCCCCAGAACCGGATGATGGAAAGGTGGCAGCCGATGGAAAGATGGAGCCTGCGCAACGCCTCCCAGGTCAGAGGATCCAGAAGCCTGCTCTCAAGCTTTTGAAGGAGTCCAAGGCTGACCCAGCTGCCTGGTTCCATGTCCAAGAGCTGCACAAGGCTCTGAAATTCCACAAGCTCACTGACAAGAAGGAGGTGCCCAAATATGATTTTTGGAGCCTTAGCATGTATTGGCAAACCAAGAGGGTGGGGCTGCTCCAGAAGCAGGAGTCGGGCTTTGTCCATGTCACGTCCTTCGGGTGCACTTGGTGCAAGAACATTGCGATGTGTGCCCACGCAGCCCGTATGTTTGCCACTTGGCATGCCAGTTGTTTGCCACTTAATTGATTGATATACAAACATGGCCAATCCCACATCTACTCTTCCAGGCTATGACAAACCGCTATAAAGGGGACAACCTGTTTGCAATTGTGTTGGATCAAATCCATCGGGCCTAGATTCAAGGATTCGAAGACAGGTTGAGGGGCCACAAAGGGCTATAGTGTAAGGGTACCTGCACGCGCTATAGTGTTTTTGTGGCCTCTCAACCCCTGCATTTGGAAATTTGATGTTGAAGGAGATTTGATGTTTGAATCGCACATGTTGAAATACTGCGTCGATCTCCTTAGCGCCTGTCTTTGACAGCTTTGATTTTGGTCTGTTTGTTGGTAGACTTATATGTGCTGGCCGAGCTTAAAGTTGAACCTTCCTGGTGTTTCTGTCATCGATCGACTGAGATCAACTTCGTTGGTGGTGACAAACCGGTGGCAAAGTGCAAACCCCTTGATGACGAGGTGGTTGTGGCTTATTTGGACTCCTTGACGGAGCTTGTGAAGGCTGTTGGAATTGCTGATTCCCTCGGCTTGAGTTTGGAGGACATCGAAATTTAAATGGTTGACACTTGAACCAAGCGAGTTCAACATTTTTGTTTGAGATGGACACACATGCGAGGCGTGATACAATGTGTTTACATCTGTTTTATACACCCACTTCAATTTGCAACCAACAGTTTTGAAGTGACCCTGCTCCTTTCAAGCTTGTCGCGTATGTCTCTTGTCCACCAACATTTACAAGGATTTAGGGGGCATGTGGTTAGGAATGGGGAGGCCGTGCCCATAGACAGTCCAAGCTGCATGGGGAGTGGAACAACCAGTCCTCCGCTCTGTGGAATTGAGGAATTGAGTGCGCTGTATATGCGCATAGGTTGCACCTTTGGTTTCGCCGGGCCTAACAATACAACATATGGCTGATTCAATATTGCTGTTTCTGTTAGGGGTATGAGATGCTATAAGGTCTGCAAGGTTGCATTGCGGATGTTGGTTGTTCCAATAATTGTCACACAACAATTGTGCTTCCAGCTTGGCAAGGGGTGTTGGCCATACCCATTACGCCACCGGAACCTGCGGAGAGAAATTGAAAATGGACCCAGCGCTGAATAGAACGATTGCTTCACTTCCTTTGGCTGCTGTTTTGGATTTGTGTCAGCAATGGGATTTCAGGTCTATACATTTGCTTCCCATGGTCTCCAGTCTCCAGGAATCAGATTCCCAAAATTTGCATGCCCTTTCTATAATTGGGTTTGCAGTGTTTGCGGATCGAACAGGAGACCAAACATCCTATGATGCATCCTGCGTCGAGCCGGTCCCGCCAAACCACCTTGCCTCACATTGCCCCGCTTCGAGGTTGGACAATGGTCGCGAAGCGGAAAGCCTGGGAGGTCAGGCTCGAGAATCGCATTGACCCTCGAGAGGGTACACCTGGCTCCTTTGAAGTCGTCTTTGGGTTGGGCAAAACCATGGTTGCACATGGTCACACTCCAAGAGTCGGACTTGTGCATATAGATCATATGTCACGTGCTGCATATACAAGGTCTGTTTAATGTTTTGGGGTCGTAGAAGCCAAACACTTTCCAATCCAAATTAATGTTCAGAGCAAGCGTGGTTGATTCTGAAATCGGTGTCGCCTTGTTTGTCCATAGATTTCTCAAACAGCATTCCAGTATTCCATCTTGGACACAACATTGCAGAATGAACATGTAATCCTGGAGTGTTGCGCAAACAAAGCTTTCCAGTGAGGGTATAGCATTTGGCTCTGTGACTGAAAGTGGTGGGGTTCACTGGCTCCTCAGAGCTCTACTCTATGATGGCCCGGCTCACCCTCCGCGATTTGGTGTGGCGGCTACACTATGTGGGAGCTCCCAAGGCTGGACCTATCCCGAGTTATTTTAGGTGACTGCAACACTCTGCAAATTGAACGTGGGTTGTCTCCGCACTCTTTGCTGTTTGCAGCAATATAATCTCCCAATCATAAATGTCTTGGTGGAAAGAGGCGCATGCAGTCATGCACCTTACAATGTCCCACCCTCGCCCACCATGGCTTGGAGGTGCTGACCTGCATCGTTCTGATGCTGCTGTGGTCTCAGAATGTGGAAACCCTTTCGGAGGCCAGATCCACAGCTGCGCGTTGTGGATCTCATGGTGTTTGTATAGGCGTTTATACATAGTCTGGCTGTGATATTCTTAAGATCTTTCGGATTAGGATCTCACATTAAAAGTGTGTTGATAGAGGTCGTGGCACGCAGTTCAATACAGTGTGTGGCGGAACACTCTATAGACTTCTATGAGCAAAGACATACGAAACTCAACTAGCTGAAGTTCAAAGTCAGGTTTCTATATACCCTTGGAACTTGGAAGCTGTAAACAATTGTCCTCGGAAGTTGGCATGCCTGACACGCCCAATCCGTGACAGGGATTCGACTTCTTGGAGTTCTGGGCCGGCAAGGCTGTCACATCTACGGTGATGAGTCACTCTGGGAGGGATGTTGCTGCTTTGGACATAGACTACTATAGGGTGGATGCCAACAACCCCAAACGATCCAACCACTATGACATATTGACACCATCCGGATTTTTGTTTCTGGCCTGCAAAGAAATGCTCTGATCTTCAGTGCTTTTGAATGTGTTTATCGATGGACTGTTTCTTCCGTAGGGTTTGTACAGGTAGCTTACATGAATGTCTTGTTCAATGTTCACCTATAAGTGTCATTATGGCCAACCTGCATGCATGGATATGCTTTTGTGGGCGTATATAGAATGCATAATTCCACGCAAATCCATATAAAAGTCCGACTTCCGGCCATCCACATGGACCTTTTAGCTATAGCCTAGGCTATGCCTCACGGCTGTGCTCAATGCCAAAAACGGCAGATTCACAGCCCTCATGGCTATTGTGTGTTCATCATGGACGACTATCAACATGGCAACATCCGGGAGGCATGTCGTGCACCCTCTTGGGAATGATCGAGAGTATGTACAACAAGCAAATGCTATGGCAGGGCGGAAGATTAGCTGAATCGGTGAAAGGCTTTGCAAGGGTGTCCCTTCCTATCCGTCGAATACCCCTTTGTACAAATATTCCCTTTTGTAATTTTGAGTGGGAAGCATACCATTTGGTACTTTTGACCATGCGTGATCATGCTTGCACGGTCTGTTATACATGGTCTTTGGGCCCGATATTCACAAACCTGATTCCTCGTCCGTGGTCCCCGACTGCGCCTCGATGCTGAGGATGTGCCTCCTCATTTACTTGGTGGAGGTGATGGGCGGATGCTGGCTGGTTGAGCAGCCCTCAAATTCATTACTACGCTTCCACCCAAGAGTCATGTGGACCTTTAGCATCTTCCGAGCACCTTTGCCAACAGTATGGGGTGGAGTCTGACTATAGCGCATGGACTTGTTTTGCCGTTTCAATCTGGGAATTAGACCAAATCTGCATGTTAACCTTTTTAGAAAGCGTTAATCTGGACATCCTCAGGCATGGAGTACCCGATGGTGGATGGGACACTACGGTGCGAAAACTCCCAAACGCCATGTTGCTTGGAGCAGTAGTCCCAAAGTGGGATTGCTGAACCGGGGAAAGCTCAGCTGGGCATCGATGCGTGGCCGGGATTACGACAAGCACAAGACTGCGGTGACTGGGGTGTCCAAGTCTGGAAAGAAGACTTTTCAGGGTCGCAAGCAGCAGCTCAAAGCTTCCCAGTGGCTTAGCTCTAATGAACGGTGGGTTTTCCAAGGCTGCTATACAAACGAACCTTGCTGTTACAAGGGATTGTAGACGCGGGTGTGTGAGTTCATATTTCAAGCTATAGGATCGAGTTTTGACATGCCCGAACAAACATAAACTCAAATTGCCATGCCCCATGCTTTATGGACTGAGGAAGGGCCTGAACATGTGAAGCATCTGTTGATAACCACCACCGCAACCACAACCACTAGTGGTAAAACTGTTTCGCGGTACAGCCACAGTGGGGAATACAATCCAACACATATTGGAGGACATTAACTGTTTGCTCATAGGTTTGGGGCATATGGTTTTAGTTCTACTGCCAACTCTTACATCATATATAAATGATACAATTATAAGTATATACAAAAGCCGGCAAGGGGGTCAGAAATATGACAGGGATTGTGAAATATATACATGACCAAATTGGCAAACGGCTGTGCTCTGCCATGTATCGGTGGTTGGACGGTTGGACATGGAGGAAGTCAAAACCCACCCACTGCAGCCATTCTGAAATTTCCAATTGGTTTGAAAAGCCTGTGCATGCTGGTGATTGGTCAGCTGTGTTGCAGATTTTGATCCAAGGACGTACCCGTACAAGTTTGGATTGCGCATCCTTCGCATTGTGAATGACCTCCAAAGCACTGGGTGCAGGACATTCCCACCGGTTCCCGAGTCCTTTAACCCTTTGGCTTGTTACCAAGAACAAGCATTTACAGATCTTTGGGTTGATTGTGGCATGGACGAATGCCTCAAGTACTTGTATGGCAATCGTCATTTGAAAGTGCCACCTGAATGGAAACCACTTTTGCTTCCAACAAATTCTTAAGGAAATTGAATGCGCCGCGCCGTCTCCTCCATGACTCGCTGTAGGACCATGGTATGTCACCTGCAATTCGCTGCAAGACACATTTTGTCCAGATCTTCAAAAACCAGGTTTTTGGGCGTAGGGAACCCGTAAAAAAATCCGTAGCCGTAGATAACCCATAATTTGCCCGTGGATGACCCATAAAAATCCGTAGAAAATTACGTAGTTTTCCCGTAGGGCAAGGTACCTCCCTATAAGGCCTTTTGGTTTGGAATTGGTCTGTTTCTATAATGCTCAACTTGCCCACGCCCGATGCCTGGTTTGGAAATTCACTCGGATTTACAACTCCTCATTGGTGGTTTGAAGAAATAGTGCGACTCTGTTTGATCAAGTGACAAGTGTCATGCTCCTGACTTGCATGTGCGCAGGATTGAGGCCAGTTTTTGTGAGAGTCTCCCTCGTCCTTGCCGATTTGTAGTGACCAAGATTTGAAAGTGTGTTGGGATTAGCCCTTGTGTCAATATGCCCCATCCATTGAAATCTAACATGTGGAGCTGTGAATCTTTGGCGGCGGGTAACAACAACCTGCTGAAGATCAAGGAAGAGGTGGCCAAGCAACGGGCCCAACTGGAGGCACACGCTCATGATGGGGCTGGTTTGTTGAGTGTCCATGCAACCAGGTTCCTTTGCTGTTGGGTGTCTTCAGGTCTTTCCAGCATCCACTTCCATGTGTTGGGATTACATGGTGGGTGTCTCTGCAGTGCCACCAGGCCATGGAAAAAGATCTTGCGCACATGGAGTCGCAGGAGCATGCCACTTGATCCATCACATTTAAATAAACTATCAGTGTGGTGTACGGGCAAGAAGGGGGCCCCATGAGTACCATCAATGTTTTATGATATGTGAAAGCTGGTTGCAAGATAGGTCCAACACTTGTATATGGCATCCAGTGTGTGCGCATGTGTATATGCATCCTCTCAGGTTGCACAGCCTGTTGAGACGCCCATGGCTTTTGAAGAGGACACCGTCCCCGTTGCTTCGTATAGAACGTGGAGCCCAACCCACAAACAAGTATTGTGGCACATCTAGAGCTTTTGCAATGGTGCCCTCCACCCAACAAGTCCTGCCGGCTGAGGCTACAGAAGCCCAGATGCAGGAGGCTGCGAACAAACGACCCCCGCCGCCTTCGACCAAAACAACTCCAGTCAAAAGCCTGGCAACTGTCAAGAAAGCGCGCCAGGCGATTGATGGGTG